AAAAAATTCATATTCTTTTGATTCTTAATAGCTTCACAAATGTCTAAATTAATGTAAGCACCTTTATTATTCATTTTCGATTGCCAGAAGACTAAGATCAGATTATATACGGACCTTAACATTCTGACTTCTAGTGTGAATAATTCATTTCACATATTGTTGGTATTCATACACGAGCAAAAAGCTTTAAATCCCATAGACATACTTATTATCAAACTCTGAAAGAAAAAAACAAAATTATAAAAATTTTAGCATAATTATCTTTAAAGAATTTCAACTAACCATGAGTGTAGCAACTTAGTGAAGTAATGAAGTTGTCGCACCTCCAAATGGTAGAATATAAGTTCAATTTTCACGGAAAGCGAAAAATTGAATTTAAAAAAACGGATTCGGCAACTATCATCATGGCTGAGAAAACTCAAGACTCTGTAACTGTGGTTGTACCAAGATAAAAATTGGAAGATTCTGGGGCATTTGTGTAATAAAGGAGTTACACAAAGGTATGCAAGTCAGTTTAGTTGGTGCAAACTCAAGATAAGTCCTTTAGAATTGCAGAAAGCCACAGGGCCGATACGGCGGTGGGGCGCTCGCTTGGGAAGTCCCGAGTAGAGAAGTAACACAGATCTTCGATGATACTACATGCAGATTACTACCTGAGGCACTGGATAAACTGAACGAGACTAAAGTGTTTGGCAAGGCACTCTACCAACCAGGCTGCCGGAGGAGTAACTGGAGGAAAAGGACCCAATCGTGGGGACCAGAGGCAGGTCACAGCCCTTTCGGGCCATCTGAATTGGTAGTTTGGAATTGATAGAATGACTAGGAAAAGTCTGTAGATATATCGGTGTTTGGGTAAACTCTATAAAGGCAGTAGTAGGTAACGGTAGCGGCTTCAGCTCGCAAATACTTGACCTCGGCCTAGGCGTAAATTACCGAAGAAGACTAGGTAATACAGGAATAGTGGATACTGGACTGCTCTAGCAGGTGATGCACTCGAGGATGAATCGGTTAACTATACCAGTAGTTCTATAGGTGGACACGATGATCTCGAAACTTGAACTGACTTATATATCGCATGTTCTGGGTGAGATTAGATGGATTGATATAGGAAACTCAGATCAGAGGGTTTAATTAGGTAGCTCAAGTAATAGTAGGTTACAGGTACGGCATCTAGTGTAGCACCTAGTACATAGGTAATATACTTAATTAGGCACTCAAAAGGTGCAGATATGGCTAGAATGTATCTTCGTCAGAATATACTTGTCTGGGGCCCCTTTGATAAGGACACCACATGATCCTAATATCTAATAAAAGCGATAAGCCAAAGAGGCTAACCTTGAAAAAAAAAAAAAAATTTCTTATTATATTTGAAAAATATAATCAAACAAAAGCAGAAAATTAATATAATTTATCCAAGCAAAGTCATAGATTATATTTATTTATAATTCTACTATAAACTAAGTTTTATTAGTAGTTTGCTTTGTATTAGATACTTTCAAAACAAAATTGTTGTAAATTAGAAAAAATATCTAAATTTAATTTTAGTAAAAATATTAAAAAATTGTGGAAAATAATATTTTAAAATAAAAAGGTTATAACAACAGTGATAATTTAAATTTAATATTATAACAAATAAAATGAATATTAGTATAAATTTTAAAAAAATAAAATAAAATAAAATAAAATATAAATGCTTACAGATTTGATCAAAAGCATAATTTTATCCTTTAGATATTAAAAATAGTAACTATATAATTAGTTTAGATTCAGACTAAAGAAGTTTATTTGTAGCTGTAACTAAAAAAATATAAAATTAATTGTTTAACCAAAGAGTAATAGTAAAAAAAAGAAGTTTGAATTAAAGGCAATAATTCAATTAAAACTATTTTATATATAGTAAGTATTTAATTCTTAATTTTATTAAAAATATATTATTTTTAACAATTTATTTAAAAATAGTTATACTGATATCATTATGTTCTTCTTTCACTTCTTATAACAATTTTCTTGTATATGTTTTACAATATATATACACCCTTATTGAATTCTATGGTGCAAGATATTGGTTTTATATATAATAGAAATTATATATTAACTATAATAAAACATATAACAAGCTCTGTGACCAGATCATCAATAAAAATCCAAAAATGATCATTGTATATAGAGATGGAAAGCTTTCAGGTTGCTCTAAAGGGCATGTATCTGGACCAATTAAGGGTTTATACAAAGTGTTGAGGCAAAATTGGGGAGAAGAGTTTGACTTGTAGATAAGTATCAAACAAGTACTATATGTTCAACATGTACCGTAGTGCACTGACCAAAGTACCCGGGGTACAATACAATCTACCCATCAAAAAACTTACAAAGGACCCGGGTACATTATGCTATAGCGGGTCTGTGTTGCAAGAAAAAAAACTTTCAAGCATACACATATTCCACATTTACAATAAGCAGCTTAAAATTTAAAAAAACTCATTTTTAATTAATAGAGATCTCGTGTTTTGCACCAGGGTACTTTGCACGGGGGGTACTGAAAAAGGGGGTACTTTGGTCAGTGCACTACGGTAATAAACAAATGGATAAACAATCATGATTCTGGTTGCTTAAAGTATACAAGAACATATGTTTAGTAAGTCTCATTTTATTTATTACCATTTTTGAAATGGTTGAAAATAGCAATAAATTTTTTTTGGTGAATACACAAACACACCAACACTTGATTACCTTAACACGTTGATTGAAAACCGATGCCTGATTTAGTAATTGTTGAAACAATAATCATGTGGCATAATTATTGTTTCAACGATTACGTAAATCGGGCATCGGTCTTGCTAAAGTAATCAAGTGCTCGTGTGTTCGCATGTTCACCAAAAAAAATTATTTGCCATTTTCAACCATTTCGAAAACAGCGATAATTAAATTAGTGAATTTCTGAGATTTTTTTAGCATGCTTTCTTTCAGACCCTTTGGAACCATGATGCAAATGCTGCCCGTAATATCCACCGCCTATTCCTCCATATGAACTCTAATAATGATGAACGCCTAGAAGAATTTCACAGACCTGAAGATAGAGACCGATATGGAGGTGAAGAATTGCCGTTCGCCGTAGCTACTTCGGGAGTAAGTCGGATGCATAAGGTGGGAACGGCCTGATGACTGCATACCGCGTCTGTAAAGTTGTAGCTAGCTGGAATCTCCAGTGTATTCGGACATTTTTTTTGAGTACTGTAATAGTAAATAAATTATCTGGTCTGACTGCACTGCATCACTTCTGCTCCGGACTTACAACGGCTCTCGTTTTTCTAGTAAGACAGAATAGCAAAATATAAATTGGTTGTTATCATAAATTTATATAATTGTCAACGTTCAATTATTTATTGTAAAGTAGTATGTTAATAAAGTTGCTTGGTTTCACCTTTTTGCTGAAGTTGTAACTTCAATATTTTTATCGCCATCCATTTTGATGTTTTCCCAAAATAGTATAATTGTTGCGCCATTTCTGTTAAAGCTTCTTTATTGAAAGTTTCTTTATCTGCTTTACTTGTAGTTGTTCGACTTTGATTTGCGCACAATCTTTTTATTTAAAGTCCTTTACTGATGCAGATCATCTTTTGATTAAACAAACAGTAATTAGTGTATTTAGAAAATATTTGGCAACACAATATAGAACAAAAGAAGCATTGAACGAGAGTCTATTCTTGTAAGATCTAAAATCCTAGCTTGCACTAGACGTTGAATCATCACCGGAGACCTGCAGTCTAAGGATGCAAACCAAGCCCAGTAATTTGGGACTTAGTAGATTCCTAAGGGTTTTTACTAGAATTGACAACTGTGTCATAACTATGTTGTAACCAAAATTTATATATCACCGATTAAAATGCGAATCGTAATTAGATAAATAAATCGAGTACTGGTGTCAACAACAGATCAAAAGATCGTACTATGTTTGTTTCGTAGAGTTGATTAGTCCTTAGGTTCGGGATATGTAAAAAAAAAAATAGGTACGTACGTACGTACGTACAGGTTTTGGTTTCGAATTGGGTTTGGGTAAAAATCCAAAACTATCCCATTCGGGTTTGGTTTACATCGCTACTGCAGTTCCAGCTCGCGCTAAATGTCGAACCTACAGTTCATCACTGTTTAGACAAAAGCTCTTAATCTATTTATCCTACTTTATCCTCAAAGGGATTTGGTAGATTTCCTCGACAACCATTTACCCGACAACCATTACGCCGACGGCCATTTTCGCCAATAGCCCATTTCCCCGATAGCCCACCTCCCCGAAACTATTTCCCCGACAGCCCATTACCTCGACAGTTCATTTCACCGACAATCACTAACCAACACTAATTATAAAGCGGGCCAACCCTAACCAAAAAATCGGATCAAATTGTCAGAAGATGTCGGGAAAATGGTTTCGGGAAAAGTGGGCTGTCGGGAAAATAGGTTGTCGGTGAAATGGCCGTCGGCGAAATGGGTGTCGGGTAAATGGTTGTCGGAGAAATTGGTTTATACCGAATTGGCCACCTCTTAAAGATCTTTATGTATAACGATAACGATAAGATTTAGTACTTCTTTCAAATCCTTTTAATCCTTTTGTTTTACTTTCACACCATAAAAATTTATTACATTAATACATATCAAATCATAAATTATTAAGCGAGTATAATAAACCAATTTTTATAATTTATATTATTTCTCAAAAATAATTTGTATTCGGAATATTAAATAAAAATATATTTAATATCTTAAAAAAAAAACTCTAACTTCGATCTAAATTTTAGTCCTAAAGTCTAATATTTGAGAGTAAAAGCTTATTTACTGATAATTTCATCTTCAGTAATTTCTAAAATAAATTCCACTAAAATTTCTTATTTACCTTGTATTTTTTTAAATTTCGTCGTGATAATTGGTAGGTGATCCATTACGCAATATAGTCGTTGACGTAGGACTACCTTCTTTTGGATTGAATTTTTGTATGATAGTGTTAGCATACAAATAATTGTCACAGGAAACAATATAAGTACCGCCATTGCTTTTTTTAACAAAACGCTCCATTTTTGTCATATCCATATTCATTTTACGAGAACATGAAAAACAATTCTCACAATCTCCAGGTCCACCTAACATATTTGCAATCCCATGACATTGTTCATCTCCCTCTCGAGCACAATGACAAGAAGGACCGATTTTATTTCCTTTTGTATCAAATTTGTCAGCTTCAATTTTAAAAGAACAATTACTTTGAGAAATTTCAAGGTTACTATTTTTATTATTCTTCCATTTTATTTTTAATGGACAATCCCCGTTTTTAAAATCGCATGTTCTTATGTTATGTTTCTCTTTTCCACAGCAACTACATGCACTATTAACTGAAGGAATAATAACAAAAATCACTAAAAACAGAAACAGAACTATCTTCTTGAAAGTTATAGCTGGATAAGGTGCGACCATCTTATGTTGCTTGCCGGCGAAAGTAAGATGTTTTTTGTCTTACCGTGTCAGGTGAAATCTACATTATGTTAATACAAAATCTTTAAAAAATAATAACAATCATTATTAAAATTTAAGATATTTACTTAATTATATATAAATAGTGTCTTTTTTTGTCTATTAACAACGTCAAGTTAAAAACAAGACTAAGTGAAATTACATTTCACAAAAATGGCTTATGAATAAAATTCAACTACTGGTACATTAGGAATGGGGGCACAGGAAAATATTTGGGCATGCCCGAAGGGGCATGCTTATTAAAGTTACTTTAAATCCTTTTATATCATTACTTAAAATTCGAAAAGGAAAATTGTTAGTAAACAAATTTTTACTTTAACGTAATTTTAATAGAAACATGCTTAAAAATAGTTTTATGCTAAAGCATTCAATACATAAAAAGTAAATAAAGTTCGTCCTTAACATCTAAAAATGTTATAACAAGTAGTCATTTGTATAACACATCTCGATCATTATATGATGTATCGTATATAAATTATGAAAAAATCTTTGTTAATATTATACAGTTAGTCCTCCTTAAATGCATAACCGAGGGGTCTGTATGAAAAAAATCAAAAAAATCTTGCATTTAGAGAAGTATTGCATTTAGGGAGGTAAAAATCTATATGTATTATATGAGTTGGGACCATGCACTTAGAGAGGTCTATGCATTTAGTGAGGTTGCATTTAGGGAGGTATAATACTTGTTATTTGGCATGATTGACGGATCATGGGTATCAGCAGGATATTAACCATTAAATCTAGGTGCCGCACAAAAAATGCGCGGTTTGGGCCCGCATTACATAATTTTGGCCGGAATTAATTTTTTAACTTTTTCATTCCTAAAATGGAAATTTTTAGAGAAGTAGGCCCGCAAAATAGTAAAATTAGCCCAGGATAGGGTTGTTAACTTACATGTAAATTTACTGTATGTAAATTTATTGTAACTGACGTAAATTACCTTGTAAGTTAATACAGTCAGGGAATATACCATATTTGGAAATCGGGTTCTAGAATGATCTGCAAAAACGTTCGCGCATTTGATTGGTC